AAGTTTAACCTCATGAACAGAGGCACAAATTCTCTATCTAGATATCCATATTAAGTGCTTAGTTGGCAAACCTTAAAATTGCTTATAAGTTGTCAAACTCTATTCTTGTCCCCAAGTTCTACCCACAACTTTTACATACTTCTTAGCCACGCATGCCTTAGGCACACTGCTTATGAACACTTAGCCAAACTTACTGGATTGAGCCTGTGACAATGCCAGACCCATTCATAATGAAGAGGGACAACTAAAGGTCATTCAAAGAAAGGGATTCAGAATGTTTTTTCCAACATGGGAAGCTAACAAGCATTGTACCTGAAAAGTGATTGGCTAGCTCCTATACTAAATAATCAGAATCAAAGCACGAAGATGATATACTAAAAGGTCATCTAGTATCCATACTAACTATCCTTATCAGCTGACTTACCAAATACCTCAAAAAGGCACGTGCAAATATTTAGTTTTTTAATTGATGATATACTAAAAGGTCATCCTGTATCCATACTAACTATCCTTATCAGCTGACTTACCAAATACCTCATTCATGCACGTGCAAATATTTAGTTTTTTAATTAACAAAAGGGCATTGTATAAACAACCTTCCTTTGTGTTCAGTTCATTTTAAGACCAACCCAAAACATATGGTTATATTCAATCAGTAGCAATTCTTTAAGCAAAAAGATTGGCCTCTTTCTCACCTCTACAAAAACCTACAGTTGAAAAACATGTCAATTTGAATCGTTCTAGTAATTACACAAAAGGCAAACTGGGTAAAATTGTAAATGATGTGATAGAGCAAGGCATCCCTAGCTCTACATAATAAGAAGTGAAAAGAATTGAAGTCTCGACTTTTGCATCAAGAATAATTATACATAAATTGAAACTTGAAAGAGATTATGAAGTTATAATCCTCTGCATCGTTAAACCATAAACTAAATAACAAAAAACAGTATTTAAATGAAATTTATGCAACTTATTTTCTATTAAGCATCAAAATATAATAACTGATTAAATATAGCAATTCTGAGGAACAGATTCTTACCAATAAATGGCGCTATCTAGAGCAGGGCTTCCATATCCAATAGAAAGAGTGATATTTGATAACTGAAAGCTGCCTTTTTTCTACAAATATTTAGAATCCTATCAGAACTTTTTTTCTACAAATATTCAGTAAGCTCGTCATTTTTCGATAACCAAAATTTGTACTTATTACAAACCAACCCCCTAAGAAAAAAACTGAAAACCTAAATTGGTCTCTCAAAGATCACATTCCCTAGTTAGTTCACTGAACAAGAATANAAAGATCACATTCCCTAGTTAGTTCACTGAACAAGAATAATTACTTAACAACAAAATTGTAGATACTATAATAGAGGAAAAATCATTTTTCATATGCAACGGTAGAGTAACAAAATGAAGAGAACTACCTTATGGGTGTTGTTGGACATAAGAGGCTCCCTTGGTTGGTGGTCTTCCCAAAGCGGATAGAAATAAGAGGCGTGCACAAACACCTAGGCAGCATATCCACTTCTGATGACTAAAAGTGTTGTTTCATTATCACAGTAGGTAGATGTCAGTTGAGTTGATAAAAGGAAACGAAAGGGCATTATGTACACAGCCTTCTCCATATATAATTGAAGCATAAAAATCAAATATATCTTTCCTTGCCAACGAACTTGAGAAATGTAACAAACGAAATTCGTTAAGGAAAATATTTAACTTACTTCAATTGCTTTCATCCCACAAAGTAAATGATCCTATAATGAGAAACACAATTCACAAACCTTGTAGGTATAATCAAAGTTCCAGAACAAAAATTTCGCATGCTTCAATATCATTACTAAATGGAGTTCACAGTCATTCTCTAATCAATATATCAAAGTCAAAATATTCAGGACATCAAACATACCTCATCAGCTAATATTTTCGAGCAATTGAAGCAAAAAAATCGCATGATGCTGAGCACGGTCTTCAAGAAGCCAATATAAAACATGGGTTTCGCAAGCTCAAGGTGACCAAAGTGGCCAGGGCACTCTGCCATGTTCGCCATACATGTCTCGCACTTCATCTTTCGATCAATGGTCCACAGATGAGGGTCACTCAATCCCCCTGGCTTACCTATTTTCGTCGTCTCACTATGCTCTATGTAAACCACAGACATTTGCCTCTGCCTGAACCAAATAAAATTTCGATAATCAATAATTCAAGCGACACAGATTTTGGGGAAGTCAAAGAAAAACCCTAGAGAAATGGGGGCTTACGATTTCATCCAGACTGAGGATGCCAAATTGGACCACTCGGACCTTGGCCACCTCCGCCGGCGAATAAGGGAAGCGTAAGTCCATATTTAACGTTAAATCACCGGCTGATGAATTTTCAGGATTTCGTTCAAGAATCCAATCGAAATACTATAGGATTGAAACTTACAAGAAGTGTTTAGGATTTTGTTCAAGAAGTGTTTTTAGTGAAACCGGTTACTGAACAATAGCATGAAAACGAGGGTGCGAAAATGATCAGCAATTTGCCTGTCCACTCTTTTATAGGAGTAGAGATTAATGAAAAAAAAAATTCTACAGCTCATCTTAGAAAACACTCTCTTTTCAACAATTAAAAATAATAAAGTTGCATTGAAACTTGCAAGTATAAAATGCTTCACACAAACAGAAGGTCAAATATCAGTATTTCGAGAGTACACATTGAAGTCAATTAACAAAATCAGCTATGCCATGACATTTTTCAGAAAGGAAGTTACATATTACGTAATTCTTCCCTTAACGTGTAAAAGAGAGAGATCCTGCATAAAGAAAGAAGGCATACCTAGCCTCTCTTGCAATTGAAATATGTTTCTCTTAGTCCCACACTCACTTGTAATTTTCGGGCTCTGCTCGTTTTCACATTGTCTATAGGGCCGGTTCTCCACCTACATTAATTCATTTGCCTCAAATTATTTCAAGTTTCAGTTGTAAGAACCAAGACCGCAGATTCACATACCCTAACCTCTGAACACACAAAATCAATGCCCAACTACAACATACACAATGATTCAAGCTCAGTGAGTTTCAAATTCAGGTCAAATCTATTCATTTAGCCACACAATTTTAGAATTCTTCATACAAAAATTTCAGCAATTTGGGGGAAAAAAAATACACACACCTTAACACAGTTGGATTCACTGAGGCATTTGACGAGTTCCATAGCAAGTCCCTTGCAAGATTTGACCATATCTAGGGCAGTTTTTTCTTCCTTGTAATATCCGTCTGCCGGTTTCTTCAGCGAGGTTTATGGTTGTATTTTTCTTGCCGAATAAGAATTAAGAAACTTGCGATGGTCCAACAATTACTTGAACAGAAATTGAAAGCTCAACGGGGTCTATTCATCAGGCAATGAAAGTAGTGAAAAGGCAAAAAATAAAGAAAACGCCCTTAAAGATCAAAGAAATTCCTAGAACTAAATCAGTTGCAGACCTGTTAGCTTTGAATATCTGTATAGATAGATTATCACTGCCGTGAGGGAAGATAAATGAAGGTAAGGCAGACTGGAAGATCAAGAGTTTGTTTTGCTGTCATTTACTCGTTTGTATTGGAGAAGAAAGAGAAATAGGGGCCACGATTGCAAGAAATCAAAGCAATATTGGAGTCGGTGAAGATATTTGTGTGAACAGTCACTAAACCAGTTCGGGAATAGTGGTGAACGAGTCAAGTGTGAAACAGAGGGTGCAAGAAGGAACAGTACCTGGCATCCTCTCTTTTATAGGAAGTAGGATATATTATTTATATATTGCAGCCCTGTTTAGTCCAATTTTAAAAGCTCAAGTTGAAGTCCAATAAATTTCAATACCAAATTAATTTAATTCTTATTTCCAAGTCCTAGTACTATGAATTTTTCCATTTTTCGGCTATTTTACATTCTTTTCTTCAATAAACATAGGAATGGCAACGGGACGGAGCGTGATTTGGGCAACCTCCCCCTCCCCGCCAAGCAATTCCCCGTCCCCGCCCCGTTACCTTGTATAATTTTTTTTTTAAATTTTTGATAATTTGTTTTTATTGCCCAAATTCATTAAATTTAGACAAATCATTTTAATTGCCATTTTCTATTAGAACTAATGAAATTTCGTGAAATTTTCTATTTAAAGTATTGAATTTTAAAAATATAAATATAAAAAAAATTAAAGAGGGCGGGGCAAGGCCCGTCCCCGCCTCGAATATCCAATTAAGTTAGTTATCTTCGCCCCATTCGGGACAAGGGCCCGAAAGTATCGGGTTTGTCGAATTTTTTTGTCATCCCTAAATAAATGCAAAATTTTACATACAAAATACAACTGACATAAATTTGGTATAATTTAATTCAAAAGTCAATAAAATATCATGATTTAGCACCATGAATAAGTATAAAAACTACACTTATCAGTTATACTACCTTTTGTTGAGTTTGAAATTAGAGCTGTCCGTGGGTCGGTTCGGTTCGGGTATTTAATAAATGGATCCGTCGGGTCCAAATATAATTATGGAACGGTTCGGGTTCGATTCCGTTCCGTACCATAATTAAATTTTTTAATATTTACAGCAACACTGCATAAATACAACTAATGACATTTCATTCGTAACTTTTACAAATTAACGTAGCCCAATTCAAAAATATATAAATAACTAGCCGTCCAATAAGATTAATTCAATGCATACAAATACCAAAAAATAGATATTAATATTACAACAA